CAAACCTGTTGTTAAAATGTTTTTACCTGCTCTGATCCTAAAAATAACTTGGTGTAACCAATGTAATCAATGTAATGTAATAAGTAAATGTAAAGTTGGTTCAGTTATATTAAAGGGCTATCAATTTCAAAAATGAAAATTCTGTCATTGATTTCTCCCCCTCGTGCCATGAAGATCTTTTTGATGAAATCTGAGTTCTCTGTATTCTACACAGACAGTTACGCAACTACACTTTGACACTTCAAAAAGTTCATAAAGAGATCGTAAAACTAATCCATATGAATTGAGGGTCAAGTCCAAATTTTCTGAAAAAACTTGATCGCTTTATATGATGGACAGATTTAATTTAGGCTTTTATTCACATTTAAACATTGATCAGCGAACTTAAACAGAAGCTCAACCGAACCTGCTTGACCTGCGAGAACAAACCTCTTGAGGAAGCTCAAATGTGCTGCATAACACACTAGAATGAATCTCATTGGTTCTTGCGGAAGCTCAAACATGCTGGGTAACACACGAAAATGAACCTCATTGGTTCTCGCACTTCATGTGAACATGCTTGAGCTTCCATTTACCACAACTGATGTGTGAGTTGATGAATGTTTATATGTGAATAAAAGCCTTAATTAAATCTGTTCATCATATAAAACGATCATGTCGCTTCAGAAAATTTGGACTAAACCACTCGATTCATATGGATTAGTTTTACGATCTCTTTATGATCTTTTTAAGCGTCAAAGTGGTAGTTGCGTAGCTGTCTGTGTAGAGTACAGAAAGCTCTCCGATTTCATCAAAAACTTTGTGTTCCGAAGATGAACTTAAGTCTTACTGGTTTGGAATGACATGAGTGTCAGTAATGAATGACAGATTTTTCATTTTTGGGTGAACTATCCCTTTAAATAATATTTTTGATTGTAATAAATCCAGTTAATTTAATGTTACTACATGAAGAACTTATTAGGCTTCCTGATAATTTTTATTTATTTTTTTTACAGTGCATATACACTCACCGGCCACTTTATTAGGTACCCCATGCTAGTAACGGGTTGGACCCCCTTTTGCCTTCAGAACTGCCTCAATTCTTCGTGGCATAGATTCAACAAAGTGCTGGAAGCATTCCTCAGGGAGTTTGGTCCATATTGACATGATGGCATCACACAGTTGCCGCAGATTTGTCGGCTGCACATCCATGATGCGAATCTCCCGTTCCACCACATCCCAAAGATGCTCTATTGGGTTGAGATCTGGTGACTGTGGAGGCCATTTTAGTACAGTGAACTCATTGTCATGTTCAAGAAACCAATTTGAAATGATTAGAGCTTTGTGACATGGTGGAAGTAGCCATCAGAGGATGGGTACATGGTGGCCATAAAGGGATGGACATGGTCAGAAACAATGCTCAGGTAGGCCGTGGCATTTAAACGATGCCCAATTGGCACTAAGGGGCCTAAAGTGTGCCAGGAAAACATCCCCCACACCATTACACCACCACCACCAGCCTGCACAGTGGTAACAAGGCATGATGGTTCCATGTTCTCATTCTGTTTACGCCAAATTCTGACTCTAACATCTGAATGTCTCAACAGAAATCGAGACTCATCAGACCAGGCAACATTTTTCCAGTCTTCAACTGTTCAATTTTGGTGAGCTCTTGCAAATTGTAGCCTCTTTTTCCTATTTGTGGTGGAGATGAGTGGTACCCGGTGGAGTCTTCTGCTGTTGTAGCCCATCCGCCTCAAGGTTGTGCGTGTTGTGGCTTCACAAATGCTTTGCTGCATACCTCGGTTGTAACGAGTGGTTATTTCAGTCACTGTTGCCCTTCTATCAGCTCGAACCAGTCTGGCCATTCTCCTCTGACCTCTGGCATCAACAAGGCATTTCCGCCCACAGAACTGCCGCTCACTGGATGTTTTTTCTTTTTCGGACCATTCTCTGTAAACCCTAGAGATGGTTGTGCGTGAAAATCCCAGTAGATTAGCAGTTTCTGAAATACTCAGACCAGCCCTTCTGGCACCAACAATCATGCCATGTTCAAAGTCACTCAAATCAACTTTCTTCCCCATACTGATGCTCGGTTTGAACTGCAGGAGATTGTCTTGACCATGTCTACATGCCTAAATGCACTGAGTTGCCGCCATGTGATTGGCTGCTTAGAAATTAAGTGTTAACGAGCAGTTGGACAGGTGTACCTAATAAAGTGGCCGGTGAGTGTATGTTATTACTGCAGAATGACTGAAAAATAGTAAAGGTAAACATATGTGAGTGCATAAAAACGTAAAAATGATTTGCTCAGTGTAAACAGGGCTGTGTTGGCTTTGTGAATGTCCAAATCCAAAGGTAAACAAGGTCAACAGCTACTCCTTTAGCCTGGAAAAGTATTTTAATGCTTGTCACCTGATAAATTTAAGTAGACTGTGAGTGTTACTAGCTTGTAGGCTAATATGTTTGTGTCTGTTTTGGGTTTTTGAACTAGGTGCATGTGAGGGAACTTTGGCCTGCTCTACATGCCACCTTATTTTTGAGGAAGCTGTTTATAAGAAGCTTGGACCTGTTTCTGATGAGGAAATGGACATGCTGGACTTGGCTTATGGGCTTACAGACACGTGAGTGAACCCCAGGCATTTCTGTTGAACAGCAGGAGATATGTTTTAAAAAATTATAGTTTTGTATTGGGAAATTTAATGAAGAAAGTGTCTTTTTTGTTTGTTTTTTTATGTTGAAATGCTCTGTCCTATTCCATAAATGCAGAGAAAACAATTAGTAAGCCATTCATAGGTTGATTCCCCTGTAAATGTAAACACTAAGTCTTCCCCCAACCATCAGAAATTGGTTTGAGTTTCAGGGCTGAGAAAGAATATTATATGTAACATTGCTTGTACTACATTACAGAGGATTAAACTATTATAATAAGCCTTTAAAATATAATTAAAGCGTTTAAGCGCATGCATTAAGCTTGCTGCAGCGACACCAGCAGAAGTAACGATTCTGAATTTGCCTGAAACAAAGGAGACTGTCTGAACATTTTAATAATTTATCAATAAACTGTTTTCTGAGTCAGTGTTGGCTGCGAGGATGAAGTTGATGACGCAGAATCATCATCTCCACAGTATAGTTAAATATAGTTTAAAAAGGGCAACGCAGAATAAGTCCTTCCTTCTAAATAATATAGCCAATAACGAATTGGTAAAGTCACTGCAGCTGCCTTTATAAGCTCTGGTAAAAACAGTCAGTGTTCTGAGACGTGCTTAAAACTGCACATGTGCAATTGTGCATTGGCTGGTCCAGCCTGAAAAATGCACACACAAAAAAGTTTTTTTTTTCATACATTCAATTATTATCAATCAAACATCAAAAAAAAAAAAATCATAATTTAAGTGTTTAGAAACAAAGTTTGAGACAATTGTGGTAAGATTTCATTGGTGATTTGATGTTTCCCTATTCAGAGAGATGGGAGCTGTATTTGCATGACTGAATTTACTACCTTTAGAGGCATTTCAAAGATTGCCAAAGAGTGAAATGCCTTGCCTTAAAGGGACTTTGGTATAGTGTATGCGCCTATCGAGAGAAATGCATGTTAGCAGCTAATGTTGGCTAGTACTTGCATGTTTTAAATGATAAGCCATGCGGTCTGAATGATAGGTAAGCGTTTGGATTTCCTGCCCAACATAACAACATGGACCTTGTTGAAGAGTTTCTTTTTTGCATGTATGTCTTTTAGATCTCGTCTGGGCTGCCAGGTGTGTTTGAGGAAGGAACTAGATGGGATGATTCTGCGGGTGCCAGACGTGATATCTGATGCTCGAGTTGACAGTGAAAAAGAGTCCTCCACAGCCCCACCCAAAGTATAATCCATTAAATAAAGCCCAGCATATCTCAATAACACTGCAATATGGATATATCTTTAATAGCAGATATTTTAATATGTACCATTTTAATAGAAACCTACAATTTAAATGATAACATTTATCGTTTAATGTTATTTACATTGCTGCCGTACGTAGTTTTTATAATTTGGTGATTGTAATTTTTTAATTGTGCAGATTCTGCAATTCTTTGTGTGACAATGAGAGCTGGGAGCATCTTGTTGGAATACATTTTGAATGCAGATATAATTGTAATTGATTTGTTGCAATAAATTAGATGTTTAACTTTTTAAGTTGTCTTATTTGTTTTTGTCTTTGAAAGCTGTAACATCATCCTCAAGTACATATTATATCTTAGAATTGACAAAACAGCCAAATAATTTCAAAGTTATATTTGTGTTAAAGAATGTTGACATGAGCACATTGAGAATGTGAAATATCAAGCCGAAATATGTTGGAACACTCACGTTGAAAAATAAACGAGGTCACACTCAGATGGGATTACTAGTTTTAATAAGATTTACAGTCGTACTTATTCAAAAAGATTACAAAAATGAAAGGTACTTTAGCCCTATATGAAATAGTATTCTTTAAAGAACAATAAAATATTGTATTTACAATCTATTTTTATTACAGTAAAAAATTATGGTTATTTTTACAAGACATTGTAATGCTCACGAATATCAGCTTCTATGAAATCATCTTGGACCTCAGAAATGTGGCATTCATCTTTGAGTAATTAATTGAGTTTTAGGATCAACAAGCAAAATGGCTTATATAATATCCCTATGTAATTCTGAAAAGGGGATTCTGTGAATGTGTGAGTGTTCTGTCTAAATCCTTAAGTTTCACTTTCATCAGGTTATTTTAAGTAAATGCAATCTCATGCATATTGTTCTTATGATCATGAATATTACTCAAATATGCTCATGAATATTTACAAAAAAAGGCTCAAAAACGCTTTACTTAGGATTTAAATAACAAAAATTAGCAAAATAGCTCAAATATCCCTAAAAATGAAATAATTCTGTAATATGGAGCATGTTATTGTTGATTATAAGAAACTGCAGGTTATTATAATTAGTTGGTATCCCAGTGTTTATGTGCTGTTTTTAAACATAACTGTTCCAATTGGCTTCACACAACCCACTGGCTGCTACTGCAACAGCTGAGCCTGCGGCCTCTCCCAATAGCCTGGTTGTCTGTCAGCCCCTCTCCGAGAGGGGAAGTATCCATAAAGCAGTCCCCAACTATTTTCCCGGAGGAGGGGTGCGAATCAAGTGCTTTAAACCTCAACTGCTGCCCGTTGATTTTGCTAGACTTCGAACCGGCATTCTGTCCCTTGACACTGTGCACCGTCAACTTGCAGCTCTGTCCATAAAACACACTCTGTGGTAGCTTGACCTCCTCTTCTGTCTTGGTTTGATCGGCAAACCTGAAGGTCTGAGGAGCAGGGGACACCTGGTGGTCTCCTAAAGGGCCGTGTGTGGGGCTCCTGGGCCCCTTGTAGAAAAGCCCTTTTCCTTTATGTAGCTGCCCTGTGGTTTTCTCAGGCGTTCGAGTGGGAGTCTGTGAGAATAGTTTTCTATTCAGCTGTTGTAAGGCCTGCTGATAAGGAGGAGGATTTTTGGTCACTTTTGGCTGTAAACCCCCCTCAATTTCAGCAACGTTCCTCTGATGATGTGCTTGACACTGTTTCTCCTTCGGCGAGGTGATTGGGTGTTGGTAATCTGTGTTGTTTAGAGCAAGCCAATCAGACTGTCCCCTGGCTGGAGAGCTCTGAGGAGAAAAGGGATTGTCCATTGAACTCAGAGATGAGCCTGTTGGTGACGTTACTGGGGATGATACACTGGAGGTCGGTGAAGTTTGTTTTACTCTCATGAAATTCAGTTGCTTGAAGTTGTGTTCCAAAAAAGTTGTGTTATCATTGACCTCATCAGGTCTCTCAAACTCTTGATATTTTCCACTTTCTGAGGTTTCTTTCTGCTCATGAGAAATCAAAGCAATGGTAGGCATGGAGTGCCTGTGTAATATAAGGGATTGGGGTTGACGCACAGCTGGTGTAAAGTTCCTGATTTGTGCCAGTGGGTTGAGAGACGCCAGGTTGTTTTCTGGACATTCAAGGTCACAATCCATACTACGACTGTCTTTAAGAGGACGGGTCTTAGAAATATCCTCCGTGTCAGTATTTACCTCATTCTTGAGACTCTCATAACCTGAGTCTGACATCTGCTGCAGGGACCCAACTAGAGGCAGAAAGAGAAAAGAAATGTAAAAACTTCTTACTTTAAGAAGTTATTTTGAACTGATTTGACCCTTGTTCAGATCTTCAGGTCATTTTAGGTAAAGGCAGTGTTGATAATGTTTACTAAAACTAAACCGATTCTTAAAAAATGGTTAATTGAAAGCTGAAATAAAATATAAATATTAGACATCAAAGTTAAAAAGAAATGTTATCTTGGCAGCTAACTGATGTAAAATAAGTTGAAGTACCTAAATTACTAAATCTAAAAATAAATGAAAGCAAAATAGAAACTTAAGATTAAAATTAAGATGTCAAAAGTACATAAAATTAAAACCTAAACTAAAAAAAGCTCATTTAAAATATTGTTAATAAATAATTCTAAAATAACACTGGGTAAAGAATATGCTTTAAACACCACATTGTTTTTAGCACTGGAGCCAGGATTTGTAACATTGATGATGAACATCTAAACAAATGCAACACATTTTTTAATAAAGAATTTAATAAAGTTTTATATAGTTTTATTTTTTTAAACAAGTGTTAAATCTTTTTTTTCCAGGGTGATTTAGTCATATTAACTAATATTATTGACTTAAAAAGCAGTTACTTTAGCTAAAGCACTTTTTTAGGCTGACAAAACATTATAGTGTAGTTTTGAGTTTTGTATTGGTGTGTATGTGATTGTGAAGTATGATTGTAATTATAGTAACCTGATCCGTGGTTGCTTCTATTATCTTCAGTCAAATCCTTTAAGAGGGTTATAATTTCATCCCCAAACAGCGCACAGCAGTTGTCAATCAAGACACGCACAATGTCACACACCTGTGTACAGATTAAATTTGCTATTACATTTACATTTTCCTGTTCTTTGAAATGTAATGACAATTTAAGCGGATACTCCTGTACTCCGCAAATATTATAATAAATTGGTAATAATAAAGCATGCTCACCTTTTTGGCGTCTTTTTCCTGGGATTGTTGATTGCTATTCCACAGACAGCTATGTGCTATACACACAGCCAGATTAAAAGAGTTCATCTGGTTGTGCTCAGCACTGAGTTGTATATGGTACAGCATCGCTATGATGTTTCTCAGCAGCAGGACATTCTCTTTAGGCAAGAGCTGAACAAGCCTGTGAATGTGGGCAGAATCAAGACATCTAAAAAAACATACACCTACAGGAAATTGGCTACTAAACCTTAATCTGCTTAAGGTGTGCAGTAATAATCATGGCCCTGATCCATCATTAGCAAGGTTTTATCCCTATTAACTGAGTACACTAGCATTACAAAAACTAATCTAGTGTTACTAGAACATTACCTCTGAACTTCCTGAACCATGTTCCTCTCCATCATGAGACCATCTCTTTCTCCATCTTGCTCCACTGCTTGAAGCCATTGCTCATAGAGATCCTCACACAGCAGGCTGCCAGGTATATTGCGTAAGAAATCCTACCAATCAGATGCACAGATATGAGAACACCGAGTTGCCATAAAATATGTGCTAAAAAGAGTTACACTAATGTTCAAAAGTTTGAGGTCAGTGGGGTTTTTTATTTTAAGAAAGTAATACTTTTTATTCAGCAAGGATGCATTAATTTGATCAATCTTGACAGTAAAGTCATTTATTTTAAGTTTACAAAAGATTTCTATTTCAAAAAAATGCTGCTCTTTTGAAATGCTGTTCATTTGTTGAGCACCAAATCAGCATACTAGAATGATTTCTGAAGGAACATGTGACACTGAAGACTGGAGTAATGATGCTGAATTTTAGCAGTAGTAAATTGAAATAATATAATATTTCACAACATTACTGTTTTAATTGTATTTTTTATTAAATAAATGCAGCCTTGGTAAGCATAAATGACTTTTCTTTCAAAAAGATTAAAAAAAATTACACACCCCAAACATTTTAACAGTGTACATACATTCACACCTTCCCCTTATTTACCTTAAACACTGCAGCGGTAACCAGTACAGATTCTCCACTCAGTGGCTCTCCATAGTCACCAGAATCCAGTTTTTTCCTCAGTTCTCGGCAGACCTTCGCTCCGGCAGAGCGCCGGAATATACCACGAGTCACGGCCCCCTCGCTGCACAAACACTTCAGCATATCCTTTAAAAAGAGCAGGTGGTTTTATTACTATTAATACTATTATTTTAATACTGTTATTGTAAATTATTGTAATTATATGATATTTTAATATTGTTTTTAAAGATTTTTCATAAGCTACAGTAATAAGAACTTTTCTTATTCTAGTTCTTTTCAACATTATTTAATAATAATGGTATACAGCTTTTCAGTTATATACTGTAATATAACAATCTTAATGTTTAGTATTATACTGCAACAGTCAATCATTCTCAATGTTATGAAGTTTAAGAATTGGTACAATATATATTATTAAAGCATATTACAATCAGATTCACCCATCTCCTTTTTAACTGCCTAAAATTTTAGGTTTTTTTAGTACATACAGTACCTACCACAATGGGTGATGGCAGGGTATTGTCAATTATCACTTCACTGAGCGGCCGACCAAACAGATGACCAGAACCCGGAGTAATGGTGTGGACGGGAGATTCTGACTGGAAAGCCTGTTCAACGCTGGGGCTTCGTTTAAATGCCCAGCTAATAAGAGACATCCTCCTCCTGCTACTTTTCTGCTCTGCTAGGAGAAATGTATGCAAGATAGGCCAGCAAGAAAAGAGGCAGTTATGTTTCAAGACATTGTGTATGTGTTAGTTTTGGGGGTGAGGGATTGGTGAGTATCAGAACACATCTGATGGGGAACAAGCTGTTGATTTGAAGCCAAAATCTATTCCATAAGGTAGGTATTTGTAGAATGTATGGCTTAATGTTAATATGGTCAGACTTTATTTATTTTGACATAGATGTGTGTGAGCTGATAGACTGCCATTACTGCAGAGGGAAATTAAAATACTGTTTTTAAAATGTTCTCTACTGTTTACTCAGTAAGTAAAATAGAGTTGGTTATTTCATTCATACAAAAATATCATACTATAGCATACTAAAAAAAAACTGAACAAGTAGTATGGTGGCCATATCTCACCTGTGAGGGTGTTTTTTATTTGACTACGACTAGGCCTCAGGAAGAACTGGCAGTGAGCATCAATAGGTACAAGCGCCATCTGGCTGTAGGATGATGTCACTGCATCTTGCTGCAACAGGCGAATGTGGCTCATCTTTATGCCATAAGGAAACTCGTGACCTGGTGGAACAAACAGCCCCTTACAAACAGGTAGGCTACTGTGCAGGAAAAGTATCACATTTAATCTAGTTAAAATGTTTGATTGCTTTGATAATATGAGAATAAAAAAATCTTACCAATTAAAGGGTATGGAGTTTCATCTTGTTTTGAACATACCCACAACTTATAATCTTTTATTCCACCCTGTGTACAAAGACAAAAGCAATCAATAAGGTAATAATAAATCAACAATAATAATTAGACATTTATTTCTAATTATAATTGTAAATGTATATAGTGCAGTGTTAACTTACCGAAAGACCAAACTGTTGCAGTGCTGTGCTAATGACATCAGAGGTACAGTCTGTGTTGCTGATCAAAAGAGTCTTCGCCTTGAGAGACAAAATCGAATTCTCGTTCATTTACACATTAAAGCTACAATACATCATTTTAAGAGCACAAGACAACCAGTACTTACATATGCACAGTTTCCAACATCCTTTGCAAATATCTTGAGTGGAATCATCTTTGGATCGTCACACGTTTTCTCTTCTTTTATACAACTTATTAAAAAAGGGTAGAGAGAAATTTGGATAAAAGTGTTTATTTCCTTTTTTGTATTATTATTATTTTATAAAGTAAAGTAAAATAAGTAGGCCTAAAATAACAATAACTGACCTTTCAATGAGAGACAGCCACCTGTCTTTCTCTTCTGAAGTGCTACACACACACACACACACACACACAAAAACAATTTTAACCAGCAAAATCGTGTGTGTTTGTTTGTGTGTGTGTGTGTTTGCTTGTTTGTTTGTTTGTTTGTGTTTGTTTGTGTGTTTGTGTGTGTGTGTGTGTGTGTGTGTGTGTGTGTGTGTGTGTGTGTGTGTGTGTGTGTGTGTCTGTGTCTGTGTCTGTGTGTGTGTGTGTGTGTGTGTGTGTGTGTGTGTGTGTGTGTGTGTGTGTGTGTGTGTGTGTGTGTGTGTGTGTGTGTGTGTGTACCTGAATGTAGCCACACAGTTGTAAGTTGGCCAGCCCATGACGAAGCTCCTCTCTGAATCAGTAATGGCCTCACACACCTCATCCACACAGCTGGCTGTCCACATCTCACTCACACGCACACACGCCTTCTGCTTCACCTGCATTACTGACCTGAAAAAAAGCATGCCAAATTATTCCAAGACCAAATTATCAGAACTATACCATCCACATTAATTGTATAGCTCTGTACACTCAAAAAGTTTGGGGTCAGTACATTTTGTTGTTGTTGTTTAAGAAATTAATACTTTTATCCAGCAAATATGCATTAAACTGATACAAATAGACTAAAAAGTAAAATTTATTAAGTTATCGTACAATGTATTATTTCTATTTTTAAATAATGCTGTTATTTTGAACTTGTGAATTCTGAAAAAAATGTATCACGGTTTCCACAAAAATATTAAAAATATTATATTAAGAGTAATTATATTAATATATATTAATATTAAGCAGTGTTTTCAGCATTATAATAATAAGAAATGTTTCTTAATTGCCAAATCAGCATATTACAATGATTTCTGAGAGATCATGTCACACTGAAGACTGGAGTAATGATGCTGAGAATTCAGCTTTGCCATCACATGAATAAATTACACTTTAAAATGTACTATTCAAATAGAAAACCTGTTTACTGTAGTCCAATCCTTGTAATCCTTGCATCCTTGTAAGTATATGACTTCTTAAAGGGATACTCCACCATTTTTTCATGTTAAAGTTTAAACTATGTTATTCCCTTAACTAAGACGAGTTGATACATACCTCTCTCGTCTCAGTGCGTGCACTCAATCGCTCTTGCGGCGAAACTTTGATAGCACTTAACTTAGCCCAGTTCATTCATTAGGATCCAAGCAGAGAAGCGACCACACACCTCCACGTTTTCTCTATTTAAATACAGTTACACGAGTGTAACTCGACCAAGAATGGTGACACAAAATAAAACGTTTTATTTTGTGTCACCATTCTCTGTCGAGTTACACTACTCGTGTAACTGTATTTAAATAGAGAAAACGTGGAGGTGTGTGGTCGCTTCTCTGCTTGGATCCTAATGAATTAACTGGGCTAAGTTAAGTGCTAATAAAGGGAATAACAGTTTAATATGAAAAAACAGTGGAGTATCCCTTTAACTTACTGACCCAAAACTTTGGAAAAGATGTGTATTTCAACAACAAAAAAAAGATTTCTCCTCAGTGTATTATTTTCCTCCTCCATACTTGGCCTTGGTGATGATGAGGATATCTGTGAAAAGGATGAGGAATCTGTCCTGGGTCTGAAGGCCTCTCTGTAGTAGAACATTGCTTTGGGAAATGAGCTTTCTCGTTGGGGTGAGCAGAGACTGGATCAGGGCGTAAGTGTCATGGCTAACCTGAGATACACAATCCCTGACACACACATGAGAGAAAAACAGACATTACTGACAACATCAGAAAATACACACAAAATACAGACAATTTCCCATGGCCAGACATCATCCCGTCAATGTTTCCAAAAGAAAACACGCTCAGTTTATCGATCCGTCTGTAATTAAACATGGCTTGATCGCTCTTTCACGTGCTTGATTGAAAAATTAGCTCTAGTGTTGCAGCTGAACATCAGACAAAAGTAGACTTCAGAAGGTACACATACTCTTAATTTAATTCATTACATTTATATAGCGCTTTTCTCGGCACTCAAAGCGCTTTACATAGAAGGGGGAATCTCCTCAACCACCACCAGTGTGCTGCGTGCAGCATGCACCTGGATGATGCGACGGCAGCCATATTGCGCCAGAACGCCCACCACACACCAGCTTACTGGTGGAGAGGAGACAGAGTGATGAAGCCAATTGGTATATATATATATATATATGGGGATTATTAGGAGGCCATGATGGACAGAGGCCACTGGGCAAATTTGGCCAGGATGCCGGGGTTACACCCCTACTCTTTTGAAAGATTTTTTGTGACCACAGAGAGTCAGGGCCTCGGTTTAACGTCTCATCCGAAGGACGGTGCTCTTTGACATTATAGTGTCCCCATTACCATACTGGGGCGTTAGGACCCACACAGACCACAGGGTGAGCACCCTCTGCTGGCCTCACTAACACCTCTTCCAGCAGCAACCTGTTTTTTCTCAGGAGGTCTCCCATCCAGGTACTAACCAAGTTCAGCCCTGCTTAGCTTCAGTGGGCAACCAGTCTTGGGCTACAGGGTGATATGGCTGCTGGCAAGCCTGTCTGACAGCCTGTCTGACGGTAGACAACTCAGTTTCTCTGTGTCTCTTTCACACACTCACACACATGCAGATGCTGGTTGTGAGACCACACACAGTCTGGTTTTGGTAGCATCTCTTCATTGTGTTAAAAATGCAAATATATTCAGAAGCCTTTTGCATGCACACAAGCGCTGACTGTGACATTGTGGTTGAAGTGAGAAACAAACTGCCCACTGAGACTGAAACAGACTGTAAAATAATATATGGCCATGCAGTCTGATATTTATGTTTACTGAAATCATATGCGTTATATATGCATTTTTAGTTTTCAAAGATTTTGATGTGATATTGTGGAAAGAAGTTCAGGAGATGAACCATTGGTATCATACCTGGAGACAGGTTTTGACTTTGTAAGGGCTTTGCTGAGAATAATAGAGGGAGCCGACTGTCTGCGCTGAGAGGACTTCTAAAGAAAGAATAAGAGAGAGCAATGTAATACAATACAAGGAAAAGAGTGATAACCAGCATTACATAACACACAGGTAATCACGCATGCTGATATTCAGTTTTATGAGCCCGGTTGTAAAAAAAAAGTGTTGATTATCAATTGTTGATTATATTTATATAATATTTTAATAAACAAGATATTGAGTAACTAAAATGAAATATGGCCATTTGTTTATTTTCTTAGTTTTGTAGTGGAAGAAGATTGTGAAGCTTGATCATTTGTGTAGCACAATGGGTTGATGATATTGTATGTGTTGATGATATTGCATTTTTTGTAAAACCTCTATTTTTTTTTGTTAATTTCTGAATTAAGTAATTTACTTTTTATTGTTTTAATTATTATTATGTTTATGTTTATATATACTGTATACACAGGATAAGTTATGGTTATTGTTGATTTTTTAAAAGTTTTATTTTTGATCAGCAGTCGCCCAAGGCACCGTACTGTATGTTGAAGCCCTAGGGCTTTGGCTCTGATATTATTACTATAATGTAGTTAATGAAAATTAGACAATGTGGCTAAAACTTGCACTTTGTAAAATTCTATCCATGTATTATTAATGTGTATTACCCCTGACTAAACAGACCAATAAACAGCTATTTTTAATTATTTATATATATATATATATATATATATATATATATATATTGCTGTTTTATTAAGTTAATGGCCAACTTAATTCTTCAAAATATGTTTTTGAAGGAGGTGACAATATACACTTGTAATTAAAGGTAAAAAAAAAAAAAAAAAAAAAAAAACATGCTGGCTGCATCTCTTATTTATCAAAATCACAGTGTTTTGTTAAACTATACAATCATAGAAATCTGAAGATTCAGTTGTGCATCAGACCTGGTGAATGGATCTGGCAAAACAATGTGATGGTCATAAAACAAATCAATGTCATTATGTATGCTGCATTATTAGTTTACCTTTATTTATAACTTTTCTCATTGCAGTATTGGTATATGATCGTCGATGATACAGCCATCAAACACCAGTTTACAGTTTATTGCTTTACTTACGTTGGAGTGCTGGTATTCCCCACAACTTTTGGTTCGGCTTCTCTTCTGCCATCCTGGTTCATGCAGTGGTCCCATAGTCAAAATCCAAGTAAAAAGATTGTGGAGGTGATTTAGAGAACTGATCAGACCAATGCTTCCATATCATCACCTGCACTATTGGGGTAATCTTCACTTAATGCTGTCCTTTTAGAGAGGAAGAAATACAAAATCCAGGGGTGTGTTCAGCTGTCCTATTCTCCTCTCAAGCTCCACAGTTTGATTTATCAGAGCAATGTATTTGTCTTTCCTCTCTGAAAGATGGAAGATTATGTCTGTGTCTCTGAGCAGCAGGGGGAGGATTTAGGAGGCGGGATCTTGGAACATAATGAGATATAGGTCTGTCTATACAACATATGGCTGTAGTTTTGACAGAGTTGAGCATGTTTATACTTTTTGGAACAACTCTCTGCAATTATAGCTGTTTGTCTTTAGGAAATAAGATATTCTGACAAATATTTTCAGAAGAATCTATTGAATATTTCTGTATAGTAAATCCTAAGCCAGTTTATCCTCATACCCTGCCCCCTCCTTTTTTGGATGAGTAAATGGTCAGACAAACCTAAGCCTCTTTTCTCACCAGATCTCGCCAGTTTGATTGACGGTTGCTCAAACTGTAATCGTCCTGTCCTCACTGTACTCCATCAGACTGTCCATTATGTATTCTGATTTTTGTCTGATTTTGTCCAGCTACGGTTTATACTGCTGCATTTTGTAAGTCTTTGTCTAAGACTTTTGCAAAGAAAATAAAAAAATGTCATAAATGAGAAATGAGGCCTTCATACACCTCTGCTCTGCTGACCTGTTATACTGATTCTAAAGTAAAACACAGTCCTCTGAACTATGAAGTCAAAAATGCAGTAACTATGCCAACATCAAAACTGAGAAAACAATTATATTGATGTAAATAAAATAAAAAATCATAATCTGAGAATATTTAAGCTACACACGTCTGTCACAAAATTGTATTTACTGCTTTGACTGTATAGACAGAAACAGCTATATTAGAGTGTTTTCATCTGTCAGATTAAAGAACAATATGAGATAGCGACCTATAATCATTGTTTTGAAGATTTCCCTTCCTGTTGGTGAAAATCATTAACATTTATCTTCAAAAAATTCTTCTGAAATCAGCAGATATATAAACATGTCAGATATGTCAATCAATCTATTAAAGCAAATATGTAATCAGACAGAGAGAACAAAGAAAAGAGGGAGTTGTCAGGAATCGTGTACAAAGATAAAGAAGAGATGGAGAAAGAATGTGTAGAGAATTTCACGTGTCTGAAAGGGTAGGTCCAGAATATAAGGTGTTCCCACTTGTACGTGACAGTTGTGACAATTGCATTTTAACGCTATACCATTTATATCAGTTTGAAATGTATATGTACGGTATAGAGAATACAACACAATGTTATCATCAAAAACCCTCATTTCACAGAGAGATACACATACAGAGAACATACACTAATAACTATACATATCAATCAATCAATCAATCAATCAATCAATCAATCAAACTTTTATTACAGACTCAGGGTCCAATTTTTAAAACACACCCATATACACTCACCGGCCACTTTATTAGGTACACCTGTCCAACTGCTCGTTAACACTTAATTTCTAAGCAGCCAATCACATGGCGGCAACTCAGTGCATTTAGGCATGTAGACATGGTCAAGACAATCTCCTGCAGTTCAAACCGAGCATCAGTATGGGGAAGAAAGGTGATTTGAGTGACTTTGAACGTGGCATGATTGTTGGTGCCAGAAGGGCTGGTCTGAGTATTTCAGAAACTGCTAATCTACTGGGATTTTCACGCACAACCATCTCTAGGGTTTACAGAGAATGGTCCGAAAAAGAAAAAACATCCAGTGAGCGGCAGTTCTGTGGGCGGAAATGCCTTGTTGATGCCAGAGGTCAGAAGAGAATGGCCAGACTGGTTCGAGCTGATAGAAGGGCAACAGTGACTGAAATAACCACTCGTTACAACCGAGGTATGCAGCAAAGCATTTGTGAAGCCACAACACGCACAACCTTGAGGCGGATGGGCTACAACAGCAGAAGACTCCACCGGGTACCACTCATCTCCACTACAAATAGGAAAAAGAGGCTACAATTTGCAAGAGCTCACCAAAATTGAACAGTTGAAGACTGGAAAAATGTTGCCTGGTCTGATGAGTCTCGATTTCTGTTGAGACATTCAGATGTTAGAGTCAGAATTTGGCGTAAACAGAATGAGAACATGGAACCATCATGCCTTGTTACCACTGTGCAGGCTGGTGGTGGTGGTGTAATGGTGTGGGGGATGTTTTCCTGGCACACTTTAGGCCCCTTAGTGCCAATTGGGCATCGTTTAAATGCCACGGCCTACCTGAGCATTGTTTCTGACCATGTCCATCCCTTTATGGCCACCATGTACCCATCCTCTGATGGCTACTTCCACCATGTCACAAAGCTCTAATCATTTCAAATTGGTTTCTTGAACATGACAATGAGTTCACTGTACTAAAATGGCCTCCACAGTCACCAGATCTCAACCCAATAGAGCATCTTTGGGATGTGGTGGAACGGGAGATTCGCATCATGGATGTGCAGCCGACAAATCTGCGGCAACTGTGTGATGCCATCATGTCAATATGGACCAAACTCCCTGAGGAATGCTTCCAGCACCTTGTTGAATCTATGCCACGAAGAATTGAGGCAGTTCTGAAGGCAAAAGGGGGTCCAACCCGTTACTAGCATGGGGTACCTAATAAAGTGGCCGGTGAGTGTATAATATATATATAAAAAAAACATCAATGCGTTACAAAAATACAAGAGTGTTTCCACAATTTAGATTTATTCGGATCGAGCTCAATCGGATCGATTAAGGTGTTTACATGAAGGCTTTTTAGTCCGATTGAACCGTCAATGCGTTTACTAACGGGTTATTTGGATTTGGTTGCATGTAAACGTAGCCTGTTGCAATGAGCCCTTTGTGAAGCCCACTTATTGGCTGTGCCGGTTAACACAGAGAAAGTCTCGCGACCCCCTATAGAACGAACAACGACCCACTAGTGGGTCGCGACCCACTGGTTGAGAAACACTGCACTAAGATATTCCCAACCATACAACCAGTTTTACAGGCATTCAAGTCATCCATGTAAAGATTAAAAAGAACAGGGGACAAAATTCCTCCTTGTCGGGTCGCACACCATTGCTAACCCCAAAAGGTGCAGAGACTTTATTGCCCCAATTTAATAGCAAAAATATTAACTAAACTTTAACCTTTTTTATTTTACAGTAACTTAAATGATGCAATAATTTTTTTTAATCGAACAGTTGACATCTCAGATATTGGCATTAAATTAAAAAGGGATCTTCTTATTGGATTATGGCACATCGAAACCAGAGCCATAGAGAATATTATTATTATTATAAGATCTCTATATGGCTCTGATCGAAACCAGAGCCGTCATATCTAACGGCTCTGATCGAAACCTGATCGAAACAACCAATGCAAAAGTAACGAAAGCTCTGATTGGACACACCCAGCGATGAGAAATTCTGATTGGACGATTGGCGAGCGAGCTCGTCATCAGACAGGTCAGAGTCAGAGAGGATCATTCGGCGGAGAGACTCTCTCTGACAGTAACGTTAGTTCTGTGGAAAATGTCGGAGACGGCGGTTACTTGTAATATCTGTGGCGCATCCTACACATTACCCGGTAACAAACAAAAAAAATCTTGAATGTTATGATAATTCGAAAGTGTATTTTACGTTACTTGACTTTTTTATTCTATCTGATCCTACGCGCATGTTTGAAAACAACGTGACTGAAGATTCAAGAAAAGCGTTATAATAAGCATTTATGTATTTGTCATGGTTTACGAAATCTAATGTAAATATTGTGGGTTTATTAATCTGGTGGACTATGCTTTTTATTTTTCAGAAGATGAAGCTGTGGGGAATCTCCCGCACGTGCTGTTGTGCAGTCATATCTTTTGCAGCACATGTCTGCACGCGCTCGAGTCACCTCAGAAAGTCATCACGTGTCCGGAATGTCAGGTAATTTACATGGATGAGAAAAAAGGCCAGGGGAAAACTAGATTGTCAGTGAATAACGACTTAAATTTCAGTTTCTTCCTCGCCCAAAGTTATATCCCTGCAGAAGACATGCATTTTAGCGTTACACGGCCCCCTTGCATTTTATAATGTTCTTGTCTAACGTTACATGGCTTGACAGTCCCTCGTCACTGACTATGCTTTTGTCGTTTGTAAAAGAGCAGTGTATCCACCTTTTTCCTAACGAGCCTACTATGGAAGGCACTTCCGGTTTGGGGAAGTTCCACTCAAAAAGACTGAAACAAATAATTTCAAGTCATACAGTTGCACTGTCTGCAAATAATTCTTATCTGTCAGTTTGATTGGATGAGCTGCAAATTTGCTTTAAAGGGGTCATATAATGGCATTTTTTGTACAAGCTAATATGATTCTTTAGGGTCTAAATTAAAAGTTTGTAATATACTTTAATTAAAAATTTTCATTAGTATTGTAAGAAAACACTTATTTTACCTGGTCAAAAATAGCTCTGTTTTCAGCACGCCGTTTTAGTGCATATGCCTTTAAATGATAATGAGCTTTGCTCACCCCGCCTCTCTGTTCTGTGCGTACACCGTTTGTAACACAATAACCTTAACGCGTTGTTCATTATAGACGTGGGATTATGAATTATATTGAGAACGTCGTACATAGAAAACATGCTGCAATGTACCCTGAGTGTAAACCTTAAGACGCATTCACTGTGAAGCGTGCAGCTAGCGATTTGCAAAGATGAATATAAATATTAAAGTCCCTGTAAAGGCAATTCTAAAAAAATTTTCATTATAAATGTTAGAAATGTATTGCTAAAACATATTACAAAGACTGTGAACTGTGAAGTACTGAATTGTGGAGTTAGACCGTTAAACAGTTTTTCACCATTGCTATTTTATGGATTTTTTGGGCGGGGCTAAAACGGGGCTCGATGACGCACCTGAGCTTGTGGACACGCCCCTACTTGATGACGCACTAAAGCCACTGAGGCTCGGCCCCTCCCCTAACAATAGAGCACATTCGCATCAGTTTGGCGCTCAATCGCGAGTTACTGTCAGTACTATTAGTTACTACAGCCAACAGTTTGCTAGCTAGCTATTCCTTCGACACGTAAATGCGTAGGCTACTACCTGGATGCGATCACGTACAGATCGGTGTCTTTATTTAAATTTCCTAAAAACGATCACATCAAGAAGAGGTGGATTAATTTTGTGGAGAGCCAACCTTGATGGAGAGCTGAGGATCACCGCCAACACCCGCCTCTGTAGTGATCATTTTACACGGGATAGTTTATAAACTTTCGTCGGAGACAACTGGGATTCACTGATAATCCACTGTTACTGGTGAATGGGGCCGAACCAACTATCTTCGCCTCGGCCTTCATCTCCCCGTCCCGAAAGCAGTATCAGCTAATATCACCGTCGGCAGCTTTCCCGCGAGTGGGCGTGGCTTCAGCGCAGCCAGCGGACACGCCCCCAGCGTTTGAGAGCAGAGAATAATGCTCATTTTTTCAAGATTTTGATAGCTTATTTTATGTACTTGCCGGCTTTTTTTATCATTCAAATTTGGCTGGGTGTCTAATAACACATTTTTCTGTGGTGTGACAAACTCAGAACACATACTTAATTTTGACTTTACAGGGACTTTAATATAAAGGTTAATAAAACAGTGCGGTTCCCAAGTGTTCTACGTGGTGCGCTAAACTGTGGCGCTGTTACAAAATAGCCTAAATTACAGCATTTAAAGTTGGGGATAAAACATAGGCTGTATATTTACAGCCTATGTTACTGTATATTTAGAATACAGTAATATATAACTGCTTATAAAGGAATAAATATCAAGGAGTAAATCAATGAAAATTTCTTTCTATTGGTAAAAAAAATAAAAATTAGTGCTGGGCAACGATTAATTTTTAATCGCGATTAATCGCATGATTTTCTTGCGATTAATCACATTGTTACGCGCAAACTTTAATAATGAATTCTAAAGTAGTGTATTACTCACTTTTGATTTAAATGTACTGCTATATACACAAAAGTGGAATAACATGTGGTTTGCAAAAACTTTAAACAAATAAGGTGCTTTATACCAGCAGTATTCCCTTTACACAGCAATAAAATATTTATTGTAAATCTCAACTTAAACATTAATGTAATCAAATCAAATATTAAAACAAAGCTATTTGCCACTGCCAGGGCATTACCTTTTATCTAGCTTGTTAAAACGAGTCCAGTTTTCTTGTTTTTTTTTCTTAACGGGTATCAACAGGTGTCTTTTAGCAGCAGAAACAGTCTATGTAGTCAGAGGTCATGAGATATAAGTCGACCAACGTTACTTCTCTGATAGTAGCTTAGGTTTGGTCATGCCATGGTTTCCCACGTACACTAAGATTGCATTAAACAGAGGTAAAGCCCAATTTATACTTCTGCGTCGAACTTACGTCGTACCCTGACGTGCACCTCTCCAAAAATGTAACAACACGTCAATTCTACGCGCACCGCAAGCGCTGTGATTGCTAGAACCGCTCCACGGGTTTCACATGCTCCCTCTGCATGTGTAATTGCGCGTCAACGCGGACAACGACGCAGAAGTAAAACCAACCAACGCGTAGTGTATACCGTAAGTAAGTCCGACACAGGAGTATAAATCAGCCTTTTAGAGTGAGGTGAATTGGTCGAGCACAAGGTGCAGCGACAAGCGGGTGCGTTCTGTGAAACTGTTGCGGTCATGCTCGCCTCACGCGCTCGCCTCACGCAAGCGCCTGCGCCCGCCCGTTGCCTAAGTTGAATTGTGTAAAAGGACTTTGATTGTCTATAACTTTTTGTACACGACGCGCAGTACAAATCATTGGAAGAGAGACTGATCCTCGGCTCGCTGTTTGTGAGTTTCCAATATTTAAATAGTTATCAGGATATCAACAGAAGGGAATTCACATGGCAGAGCATCCCCGCTAAACTAAACGCAGGCCTATCAGGTAAAGTTATGTATAATTTTGATTTAAGTTAAAAAGATTACAGCTGCGTAGGGCACAGAAGCCGTTGCCATGGTTACTATCCATAGAGCGCCTGTCATTCACTTGCGGAGCGCTGTCTCCCTTTCTGTTCACCTGAGAGAACCTGCCAAAGCCCCTCCACTGCTGGTTTGGGTGGGTTATTTGCTGGCTGACCAACTTCCCACCCCTCCTGTGATCATGGTTTGACTGTAGGCCTATGTCCTATTCAGAGCCAGTGTGCAACGCACTTCCAAAATAAAAAAAATAAAAAAAATGCGTTAACGTGCGATAAAAAAAATTGTCGGCATTAATTAATAAATGCGTTAACGCGTTAACTTGCCCAGCCCTAATAAAAATAATATGCAACTGGTCGACCAATGAGAATGTCAGTCGACCAAGACGGCATCGACCGATTAGACGACTAAACGACTAAAGTTGACAGCCCTACAGATATGTAATTTTCTCGTCAAAATGCATGCTGCTCCCCCAAATATTACACGACAATAGCCTACTTCACTTCATACAACAGCCAGTCTTTCGATGAAGAAGTTAAATCAGTGTTCCTGAATTTAATGGATTTAGAGTATGTAGTACATTAACGTTTTAAAATTAATGGCGAGTCCGCTGTTGAAGGTGACGATCATCCATTTAATCACGCGTAACGACAATACAGAATAATTGTAATTTGACCATCGGGTGCGGATACTTATGCTGCATTCCAGGCAGGTTTTTGAGCACGTAAATCACGACTTCAAACCACGACTCACGACTTTATAGCATTCCAGGCCAGTCACGCCAAACTACCTGAGCGCAAGGAATTGTGGTAGCTAGATGTAAACAAACCAGCATGGCGGACCTTACGGGGCTTATGCGCATTTGTAATAATTTCTGTCACCAAAGGTGCTTACTCCTTGTTTATTTGAGGGAAACGGAGGAGGAAAAACGGCGCATAAGGCAAGATAAGCTGTTATACCTTTTATTTTACTTTATTTGGAAATGTATTTGGTATTAATTTATCCTTGCACTCAATGGACTGAAAACTAGTTAACGTTATATTGTCCTAAAGTGTATTCTCTCCGTGTACCGCCTGCAGAAACACTGCATCCGTAGGGGCTGCCATTGTTGTTTTGTATGGTGTGACGTCAGAGCTCGTAACTGGGAGTACATCGATCTAGATTGGCCGTATATGAGAGACAACTGGATGTGTCACGGAGACCGGTGTCTGCGCACGAGAGAGAACGGTGTCGGCCTGCGAGAGAACGGTGTCTGCGCGCGCGAGAGAACGGTGTCGGCGCGCGAGAGAGACCGAGTGTGTCCGAGCATTAGTATGCGTGCGCTCTTTTAGACACACTCGGATATATTTTTTTTATATCGATACTAGAGGTTGAAATATCAATACACTATCGTGAAAAAAATTATCGCGATAGTTAGCTGTATCGATATTTTTGCACAGCCCTAGTAAACTAAATAATTTTTTTAAATAATTATAATATATTATTATTGCATATATTTTATTAAAGCTGCAGTCCGTAGCTTTCTTTGGTTTAAAAATTGTCCAAAATACATATTTGAGAAAATACATAACCAGCCAGTGTTCAAAACTATCTGCTTGCTTTAGCTCGATTCAAAGCGGTAAGCTTGTAATAATGTTTTTAATTCCAGTGGTACTGGTGGATTTCCGCGGGAAATTCGAGCATGTCTTTGCGTCATTACGTCACATCTGTACACATAAAGGAGTCTCGGCTAGTAGGCTATATTGTGTGTGAGGATGCTGGAGGTGGAGATTTATCGCCTTTTCTCACAGAACTTGATATAATTAAACTTATCAATTTGATGGCGGATCCAGAAAGGTTCAAACGACAATCACCAGTGACAACTAGAGATTCACCGGCTGTAAAATGCAAAAGACTTCGTTCGGACTTCGGAGTGGCTACAGAAAAAAAGAGACTGCAACCGGACCCATGCGAAAACAAGGATAATA